TACAACACACAAACTGTTGTTTAAGGTAATTTAGTTATTTAACAAAATATGTGTTTTGTTTATTAGTCTGGCCTTGCTGGTCTGTGAAGAAATTCCCAAACAAACTGATAAATGCTTTCTCTTTTGCCATATCTCTCTGGTTCAACAAATTATTAATATCAATTGATTTCATTCATATTTGATCACTCACAATAATCAAACCCCATTTGTAATCCCTAGAGTCCACAACAGAAAATTGGGAGGCTCGTCGAGATCGACAAATAGTACAATGTGGAAACTAGTAAACCAACATAATATTACATATCACCAACCTAACTAAACTTAAATAAATTTTTTTGTTTTGGTTATATTTTCATGCTTTTTGGAAAGTCACAAATTTTTATATATATAAAAAAAAAAACTTTTATTGCATTTTTGTTGGTGTGCAGTCCTTCTCCAGTCAATTTGATTTACCACACAAATAGTCAGAAGCACATTGTACTCTGCTTCCAAAAAAATCATTGTCTGTAGTCAATATTGTAGTGGTTTATAACCGAGAGTACAGGGTCTTCACACTGTGCTTAACCCCAGGATCTCATCGTTCTAAACAGAACAGTTTTTAACCTCTAGACAATAAAATGGTTCACATTTCTAACAGAGAAGTAGGGTTATCGCTGCTTTTAACCTGGAATTAAGAATGAATAACCGTGCAACGCAGTGGGAAACAATGCAGCATGTTTTAAAGTAATTGTGTGTTATATTGTCATATCGCATAGTTTTAACAGTAAACATTTTATAGAAAGTTGTTTCAACACTTGAGCAGGGGCATTTTAGTGAGGAAGAGACTATTTAATTTGGACCTTTTTATAATCCATAAAAAAATTCAGGATAAACCTGCTAGTATGGTCAACAATATAAGGCTCTGCAATGAAAGTAGCCCTTAAGTCATATGTTGCTTTTGTCCAATCAATGGCACAGTAACGTAGTTAACACTAAAGTATGTTGACAATGTTAATCTGGATTTTTGGGGTTACCAATTGAAGTGTAAAATAGTTATAACACTTGGAATCAAGCAGCTTTCTGCTGGTTAACCTCTCAATTGTCAGATACTTTAAGCATGCTTTATAGCATAGATCTATGGTTGATCTAATTTTAAAGACATTTAACAAATTAAATTATTCTTAAAAAGTTAAATGTGAAAAACAAATAAAGCTATATAAAGCTTATTTAAATAATTTAAATAATTATTTAATAATAAATAAATAATAAAATTGAAATATTAAATAATTATTAATTATCTTCTATTTATATATTTATACATTTAAAATAACGTTCATTCATTAATTTTCCACCAGCTCAGCTTCTTTATTCATCAGAGGTCACCACAGTGGAATAAACCGCCAACTTATACAGCATTTCTCTTGCACAGTGGATGCCCTTCCAGCCACAACCAGCACTGGGAAACACCTATACACTCTCACATGCACACCCATACACTACGGCTACTTTAGTTTATTCAATTCACCTGTACCGCATGTCTTTGGACTGTGGGAGAAATCGGAGCACCCGGATGAAACCCACGTCAACACAGGGAGAACATACAAACTCCACACAGAAATGCCAACTGATCCACCTGGGACTCGAACCAGCAACCTTTTTGCTGTGAGGTGACAGTGCTAAACACTGAGCCACCGTGTGGCTGGACCCTAAAATTGTGTTTATAAATGTGTTTGGATCTAATCACACTCTCAACTTTTAAACAGATGAATGGTTAGTTTGCGCTCATTGCAAGAATATTGTGCTGACAAGGAGTTGAGTATATAATCAATAGGATTGTACCGACTGTTTAGACTAATGATTAAAGACAATGCCTCATCATTTGTTTGTATGCTTTTATAAACACGGGCCTCAGAGGACTGCCCTTTGAGCAACAAGAATGAATTAGTTTGTATTTCTTCAGAATTGCTCCCTTGCTGCAAGAAAATTAAATCTTTGAAAATGAATCTTCCTGGGTTCTGGAATAATTGTTATTCTGACAACAGAACCTGTTGTACACTAAAATTGCTAAAAAACCTAAGTAAAACAGTTTAACTAATATATATATATATATATATATATATATATATATATATATATATATATATATATATATATATATATATATATATATATAATTTCACCAGATATCTGTCTGGAAATAATTTATAATGTTAGATTGATTGAGATGAGGTGACGTAGTGGCGCAGTGCTGTCGCCTCACAGCAAGAAGTGTGGAGTTTGCATGTTCTCCCTATGTTCGTGTGGGTTTCCTTCAGATGCTCAAGATTCCCTCACAGTCCAAAGACATGCGGTACAGGTGAATTGGGTAGGCTAAATTGTCCGTAGTGTATGAGTGTGTGTGTGAATGTGTATATATATATATATATCCATAATTACATTTAAATAAATAAATAAATAAATAGCCATCTATTCTCCACTGCTAATTATTTAAGAAAAATGTATTAAATAAAATTATTAAAAAAAAAAACAACAAACAATGATCAATGTATCCATATTCTAATTCAAATGCAAATTCTGGAAACCAGTTGGTGGGGAGGTGTAGTAAGGATACAGCTGTGGATATGTACATGAACAGGATTATTTTTGTGCCACCTTACAGTTATAATTATTAATTTTATGTGAATGTTAGGGTTGTAAAGGGTAATTTAATTAATAATATGAACAATACTCTGTTTAATTACTGTTTTACCATTAATGTAGGAGTTAGGGTGGGCAAGGCAAAAAATTTGTACTTGTTTTGTATGTTCGAAAAAAAAAAAAAAAAAAAATATATATATATATATATATATATATATATATATATATATATATATATATATATATATATATATATATATATTTTTTTTTTTTTTTTAATTCTTTTTTTCTTTCATGACAAACTATATAACTAATATCTTCTCTTACTAATATTTTTAAAGCTTCTACTTGGGGGAAAAACGCAAATGCTGGCAAGTGGTTGAATGAGGCAACAAGGCACTAATCAAGACTGATGAACCAAACAGGTAATATCCTCTCAAAGCCTGCTTTTTCTCCTGACTGCACTTGTGTCAGTCGTTTATTGACTAAGGTTTACTTTTGGAAATTCTTTTAGGCTTAAAAATAAATACAGTTTTGATATAATATGCACTTACAATGCGGAACAAAAGGTGTACTAACGACCATAAACTTAAATTGGTCACAGAGCCTATGTTCTGCACTAATCCAAAAGCTGGGAAAATCCTGTTGGGCACTGGGCTACCATACAATATTTATATACAGTATTTAAGACAATATGGCATCACTGCAGCACTGAAATCTTATCATAGTACCGCAGAATTATTTAGATGTATGCCCTTTTCTACAACCCTGTCAAATTGTAGCAACCATGGTATTTTACCTGAGCTCTGAGCCCTGTATTCCTCAACTCCCTCCAGCAATGAAAAGCTCAACTTATGTTCTCTTATCTTGTTTCTGTTTTAGGACGCTTCATTTTTTTCCCCAATTTTCTATTATTTTAGCACGGCTGTTAATTAATTAAATATGCGCCAAGTTCACGCTTAGCTTTCTGTTTCTCATAAATACGCTTCCTTCCTGTCCTGCTGTGAAAGTGCAAAATAATTGATAGGAAGAAACTCCTTCTGATTGGCCAAGCGAGATTCTGACAGTCTGACCTATTTTAGTTTTAATATTTAAGGCTGTGACTGAGATTATATTGTTAGGTCAGGACAGTTTAGTTTAATCAGTATAATGATTTACTACATATAAAAAAAAGCGTGCGAATTATAGCCTACATTGACGTTCGGCGGTGTTTTTTTGATTATGTTCGGTAATCAGTGAACCAAATTAATAGATTTAATTTAATTACATCTAATTTTTAAATTAATCTTCACAAAAAAAGTCTGCAAAATTGTTGCAAATTTACGTGTGTTAAATTTAAACAAATAAATTGTGTAATGTTCAACTTAATTTATTTGTTTAAATTCAGCCCAAATGAATTGTTTACAACCATATAACTTTAAAAAAAATTGGTAACACAATTTTGATGATCCATTTAAGTATTAGTAGACTGTCTGCTTAATATCTGTTGATATGCTTCTTCCTATCACATTTAATTGACTAAAAGAAACTTTTAGCAAATAGCCTACCCCAACCTAACAGTCTACTTGTAATCCAATGAGAATTAGTTGGCATGCAGATGCAATGTAGCTTAAATCCAACAAATGGTCCATCAAAATAAAGTGTGACCAAAAAATTTAGTAAATCCAAAAATATCTTTGAATTTTTTTTTCAGTGTTGTTTTCAGTGTTTTGAGGCATATTGAGTGGTTCTCAGTGACATTTGTGATATTTAATAAACCTATTAATGGATGGCCATGAAAGACAGCACATATTTTTATGTGAGTGTTTAACTTCCATGTGAAAGCAAGTGTAGCCATATGAAAATGACAAACTATGCATGTAGTTTTATGTACGCTGCCCGTGGTGCTCTAGAGTTGTTGGTTTTTGGTGCAAACATGCTTTCACAATGGTACAGACCATTATAGGGGTGGTCAAATGTATATTTAAGTTATCTGTTATTTCATTTATTAAAATACAAATCAGGGCAAACCATTTCTTAACTATTAAAGGACTGACTCCTAAATACAACTTGTTTTAATGTCCTTCATCGGAGATCATGCATTAATTAGGAGTGTCTGACCCCCCAAAACCCCATATCCCATATCAATGCTTATCAAAAATTAAATAAATATCAAGTACATTAAATATCAGGTGTGTAAAAAGTAAGATGAAAGTAAATTGAAGTTAAATTAAACAGCAACCGTTTAAAAAGTGGGATTTTTGTGTTGTTTCTCAGGAATGCAATTTCCTCTTTTACCAGCAGGGTGCAGAATTGCAAAAGAATTGTATTTTCATTAGCATGCAATCAAAACATGCGCAAAATTGAGCCAAGCAGCAAGTTAAAGAGCGACAAATGAAGCAGAGCACGGTTTAAAGGTGTTTAATGTCAAAATCAAACTTTTACATGTCACATACCAAACTTTCAAACCATTCCAACCCCTTTTGATTTGTTATTTGTCATAACAAATGCAATGAACGCATAAAATCCATATGAGAAAGACAGAGCTTCAAAAGCTCCTCTTTCACACAGCATAAAAAAAGAAAAAAAAAAAACATTTTCCTCACAGGTGCAGGATTAAAGACCGTCAACATGCCTTTCAGGTTAAAGTTCAGTGGTCATTTCTACAGGGTAGCAGTAAAATGGCGGATGTTGGGCGAGTACATGAGTTCAGTGTTTTTTATCTCATAAAAAAGTTCAAGTGAATGTTACGCTTTAGACACAATGTTATTTTGCCCTCCCCGTCCCTCCCCGTTTTGCAGTAAGTGAGTTGAATTGTTAGGTAAACGTGCAGTAAAAAAAGAAGAAAACACACGGTTTTTCATATACATAGTCCGTTATGCACCCCATATTGTACACTAATTACAGCCTGCTGTATAACAGCATATTTAGCCTATAAACCTGGCAAAGGAAACGCGCCATCTTTAGAGACAGATTCCTTCTTCTTCGTCTCGAGTCCTCTGGTTTCACAAACCCTGTATAGGCCAGTTCAATGATTTCCTCTCATCCAGGCACTGAACTGCAGGTTCTGGGCTAGTCTTTTTCAGGTAAGTTTGTGCACCAGTACTTTCGGTAAAACCGAAAAACGCTGGACAAGATTTTGGCATAGATGGACTGGAGTCCACCAGTCCCGCTCCAGACCCAAGGCTGTTCCGTGAAGTGAAAGGGATGAGTCTGCGAGTCTCACCATGCGGGAAGCCTGGAAACACACTCACACAAACAAACGCACACACACTTTCGGACACCGTCGCCAGGTGCAGTGTGTCTGGAAAAGGGGAAAGGGTGGGAAAAGAGGCTCCCCAGAGTATGGCCTTGTGAGGGCAAATCGGAGCGCAGACTAAAGCTCACACTGATAATGGGCCGAGGACACACACTGAATCTCAAGTTTCCTGAGAGTAGGTGAAATACATGTCAGTTTGTTCTTATCAGTCAGATTGTACTTACAATGCATATCAAGAGCTAAAAAATAAACTCAATTTGAAATTTCTTGATGAGATGGCGACGACCAGGTCGAGGCTGCCATAAGATTCATTAAAACGCCTTGATTTGTTTGAAGTGTAATTTGAACAACTACAGTACAGTAGAGAGTGTGCGTGTGTGTCATATCTGGCTAAAGTAAAGATCCAGCTCTTCATTTGCACACCGACCTCGCTTCTTGTTCACACACACGCTCCTTCTAAAGAGGTTACATCCTCCGAAAAACAACAAAATCGGATTCTTATTTAACAAAATAAGCATTAGCTTATCCTCATGCAGTGTTGCTTTGAAAGAAATTTGGTTTACATATGAGCTCTACTTAAAAGGGATGAGATACAGTATAGCTGTCATTTATAGTATAATATAGATGTATCTAAACATTGTTTAATGCCCCTGTGTATGCAGTTTACACAGATGATTAGTTATTCAAATACACGTCAGTGTCTTATATACTAGTTGAAGATCAAGCAGGCAAAAATGCTACATCTACTTTCGAAAAACCGCGTCTTAAAAAAAGCCTCAGGTATGCCAAAACGTCTGTCTTTTTTACAGTACATACACACTTGTACACACACGTCTGCACTAAATGGATATAGACATGTATCTCGGCGTGTCTTTATGTGTTTGTGCTGTGTACAGAGTATGTGTCGCATGATTGAGTTGGCTGATTTTAACTCTGAGGTCTGATGGGATGGTGATATAACAGTCATTGTGAAAATTGCCCCATTACAGGAGCGATGAAATAGCAAAGATTTCCATCTGAAAGTTTTGAAGCACTACTGAGAGTTGTAGTATATTCCCATATTGGTGTTAACAGAAAAACAAGCAGATTTACAAATGATATAAATGGATGACTGGATTTTTTTCTTCTTCTTCTTTTGAAAGTCTGCAATGAAAGCATTTACATGTCTAATGGTTACCATGTGACTGCAATTAAATAACTGTACCGGCTCAGCAACAGGAAACTAGTTAGATTAAAATATTAAGTTGCCATATTTTTTTTTCCTGATGCTACGTGGTGGTTTTATTTCCATAATGTGCCACAGTCAGGTAAAATGAGCATCCGTTTATGTGATCTTTGTCCATCAGTCCCCAATCATCCCCCCTGTCTGCGGACAGGCCGAACATGCAAGTGTTTGCCATTTAATGAAGTCCATCAAAGTTTATGAAAGATGATTCACTTTTCTCCTCAACTTTGATCTTTTGCATCCATAGAAATGAACCGATGATGAATTTTTGGCAAGGAGAAGACGCCTGTTTTGAACAGGTATATGCGCTAGTCTCTTAAAAATGACCCTCCTGCTCCGATGCAGTGAAGTAGCTCGGGAACATGGCTGCAGATCACAGGTACACTTCTCTGCGGGACAGAGTGAGGCACGAGGTGGTCTTATAATCAGCCCCCGTCCTCGTGAGCGGTATGACCTCTGGGGGATGCGAGTCTTCTTCATCGGGACGACGGCCGAATCCGGCGCTGCTGAATGTATCGTAGGATGCGGAGGTCATTTTACGGTTTAGGAGGTTGCGGTTATGGTCACCCATGTTCCTGTTCCGATCCCGGCGGCTGAGTGTTCCCAGTGGATCTCCGTTTGCTAGCGAATCCCGCACCTCGTCGCTACCTCCGCTGCTTTTATCCGTTCCTCCATCTCCATCTTCCTCTCGGTCGCTGTTGTCTTCGGTGTTGTTGTTGTTATCGCCGGGTGAGGCGAAGGTGGAAAGTTGGGGTGGTTCGATGCGTCGTCGTGGTGAGGATTGCACGGGCATCCAGCAGGTGTCAGAGTGACCGTACTCGTTGCATTCGTGTGTGCATTTTCCTGTCAGAGCCACGTCAGGAAGCTGCCTGGAGTCTGAGGAAAAGAGAACAGAGGCCTTTTTAGGAGATCCTGTCAAGAACTGTCTCTACTCAAGTATGTACAGGTCAATAGGTCAACATTTTCGTTCAGACTGTCAAATTTTAGAGACTCGTGATGTCTCTGGAGAACCAATAAGTCTGTCTGTCTACAGTGGCGTCCAGAG